TTAAGACGCAACTATGTTGTGCAAAATATTATATTTTTTTAATAAATGATAACAAGATAAAGGATGTGGTTTTTTTTTATAATCTTTTAATTTTAAACATGATCTCCATTTATAGGTAAACATTCTAGACCGAAAAGCTATATCATTTGGAAAAACATCATTGTTAGATAAAATTATAATAGGTGTTCTCATTATAACAGCATCATTACAATACTTAACTTTTGCAGTTACAGTATCACCTCCGAATAACATTTTTAATGTTTCAGTAGCAGAAGGCTCTAATAATGGTTCATTCCATAAAATTATTCGTTTATCAACACATTCCATTAATGGAAATGAGCAATATCTATTAAAATTTCCAACTTGACCAAAATTTAAACAATAGTGAATAAAAGTATCAAAAAAAAAATTTTTACCAGCATTAGGTGGTGATAATATAAATATAGTATTTTTTTTTGGAATATTTTTATCTATTATATTATACAAATTATTTAAAAATTTTGAAATTTTATGATCATTATCATAAAATTGGAATTTTAACAATTCATCAAGAACCTCTATTGATTCATTAATAGTAAAATAATAATTATATAAATTTCCAATAGGTGCATTGAAAATTAAATTTTGTGGTTCTACTGATTTTAGATACAAATAAATTTCATGAAAAGTTAAATTATTAATATAATTATTTATAATACGAATACAATTTTTAATCAGTATACAATTAATATCCCAAAATTTAAATTCTGATGTTAGCCACGCAGATGTATTCAAAATGTGATGTATTGGTGCTGTTGGATGACTCTTTAAAAAATCTATTATTTTGTCTCCCTTTCTTCTTTTTTGACTCCTATTAAAAAATAAATTTTTATTAATTTAATATTAGTTTAATTATTTTTATTATTTACCTGGTATTTTGTTGAGTTGATTCGTTACATTCAGCAAAAGTTTCATTACCAATTGATGATTCGGGTCCACAGGAGATTGAATCAAAAAAGTTGAACGATAATTCGCTTCCTTCCACCATTCCATTTTTGGCTTCTTGGAGATCTTCGAAAAATCGTACACATCTAGTTTCACTACTTGGAAACCACGTTCTCCCGGTGATGTTATAGTATAAGTACTTCCTGGTTTCCTTCTGCAAATAGATTGACAAATTGATCCAATGTTGGATCGTGAATTTCCAACTTGGAACGACTCGTCTAGAATATCTTCTATTGGTCTGTCTATGGATAAATTTTGAGAAGGCACATCTACAGGAATTATTGGAGTATGTACAGTCATGGATGACGTGGATGTGGTTGTCGTGAAGTGCGATGATGAGGATGGCCCCTGAAAATTTTCTGCATAACTGTTCGTAATCCATGTTGAAGTCTCCATCGTTATGTTTACATCCAAATACATCGTGGACCACTCGCTGTTTAAGAGAATTGTTACCAAATTCTTCAACGAACACTTGCTTAATTCGTTCTTCTGGTTTATTAACTGCTTTTGTACAAACAGTAGGGAGTCCGTCAACAAATGTAAAACTCGTTTGGCTTCGTATTCCTTCTTCATTAGAGATAGTGGAATCAAGCAATCTAAGATCGAATTCGAATGAATTAGAAATTCCGGCGTCCAAATCACCAATAGTAGTGAGAGCATCGACATATGAGTAGCATTCTCCATTAACATACTCGCTTCTTTCATTTCTTGCTCGACATTTATAATTTTCTTCTGTTCCGCTTCCATTGCTAATTTCCTCTTCTTCGTTTTCTTCTTCTCCTTCAATATACTCATTTCCACTGCTTGAGTATCTGCTATCATTGTATCGGAATCGCTTAATATGAAGGGCTGTCGGTTCAGAATTACAGATTCGTTTTCTGATTCTGATATTACTGGATCCCTCATTGTCACTTTTTTCATTATACTCATATTGCGGCGAATATTGATATGAACAAACACTGTTTTCACTATCACTACTAGAAAACATTTAATTTTACTATGAAAATTTTATTCTTTATATACAAAATATATTATTTAAATTTTTTTTTTTTTATAATTAAATAAACATTTATCATTTGATGTATCATTTGAAATACTTGATCGATGAGATCTCCAAATACAATTGGACATAAATCTCGTCATCTGGCTACTGACGCCAAAGCTAAAGACGCTTACGAGGCGCTTTAGAAAATAGAAGCTCCAATCCTATAGGATGGAGATAAGAAGCTTCTAGAACATTCTAAGGAATGTTAGAAGCTATAATTTGATTGGTCAAATCCAATCCAAAAACTTTCATGAACGACTTCAGGCATCAAAGGAAAAACTTGGAAGCAACAGTCGTTAGCAAAGGTTGAGCATAAACGGTTCAAGTAATAAAGTCGTTAGTAATAGCCTCAATAGAACAGTCTTTAGAAAAGGTTCAAGTCGTTGGTCGGTCTTACTGTAAAAATAAAAATATTAAAATATAAATTATATTCAATAAATATAAAATATAAAAGTTACGAGTTAATCATATTAATTAATAATAAAATATTGTAGTTAAACTTATTAAAAAATAAAATATATTTTTTGAAAACACTAAATAAAGAACCCGAAAATTAATTTGTATATACCACAACTAACTCACTTTATTTAAAATGTATTAAATTTTAATTAAAATGTTTTAAATCAAAAGTTTTTGAATTTGAAGTGTCCAACATCACAAAATCATATAATATTAAAACTATTCAAAACAATAAAATATTAAAAATTAAATCACTCTCTGGCCCAATTTCATGAACGTAACATGAACTTGAAAATCGGTTACCGATAGATGAGGCAGGGAACAGAGTGTGATGTGAGTTCATAAATTTTAAGCAACGATATTTGAATCGTTTTTTCAGCTTGACATGCATACATATTCAAAGTTACGTTTATGTTTACCTTTACATGCTGAATACTTTTAATTTCGTTTACTCCTATCAACTCAGCGTACATTTTCAATCGCGGAAGAATCGTCCGCGATGCTTTTGCGGGCTTTGTTTCTGGTGGAAGCGTATTTAATTCAAACGCAGACGATGCTTCCGCGATACTTTTGTATGAGAGAGTTGTTCATCGTCCGCGAATCGCTTAGACGAATCGCTTTCTGCTCCCCAAAACCATCGTAAATATAAATTATTTATAAATTAATTCAAATCACTCTCTTATGATTTCAGTTTTCGCTTCTTAATCCGGTCTTTTGCATCTACAAAATGTTGTTGAAGCACCGAGTTCATTTTTATATCATTCACTTGCGGAAATTTAAGGAGACAGATATCTACAGAATGGGAAGTTATATATCAGAACATATTTAGCAATAGATTTAAATTATTAAAGAAATTACTTTTTATTATTTTTATTAAAGTATACGTTTGTATACTATTCTTTTCCTTTGGTCCTCTCCATGTGTAATTAATTGCGAACTCATCAGATATGACTCGCTTAACGCTTTGCCTTAAAAATATGGCCATTTCGTCACCGCCCACTCTGTTAATGAAGTGCTTCTGAAAATATAAAATAGTTCTAAAACAAATATAGTTGATAATTTATATTCTAACTTACGAAAGCTTTGTTTATGTCTTCATCAACCAAATTCGCATCAAACTGTTCTAAGGCCTCTACAGTATGTAGAGGTAGCGATGGTAAAATGGTTGACTCCACTTCATTTATAGAATTTGTGTTGAATTTAAGAAGACGTACTTCCTGACGTAATGAAATAACCTCCTCGGTTAATGTTTTTACGACTTTAATTATATTTTCATCCCGCTTTTGCTGCTTGTTGTCCCTCCCCCTTATTTCGTGTAGTATATCCGAAAGGCTTGGAGTTGGAAGACCTAATAAAAATCAGAAAAGTATTGTGCTTACTATAATACTGGCATAAATAAAGATAATATCGCATTTAATGAACTAAATTAGATAGTTTTACAAAAAAAACTTACTAGTAGTGGCTGAACAAGCAGAAGTAGTGGGTATATTTATGCACTTATGTTACGCACTTCCAGAGAACACTAAGCAACAATCGCTCAGATGTGTTATTTCTTTATCTCTTCACTGTTCGTTTCGTCAAAACAAAATTCAATGAGTCATAAACAGTATGCATTTTGTTGGTGGCCAAAAATAACAATCGCCAAAACAATCGCGTGGAAGATTTATAACTTCATCGCGTTGACGAGCGATCGTCCAAAACTCGTCTGTTTGCACGCTGGGAATGTAAGATATGATGCGAGCGTAGCTTATGATTAAAGGGTTCCTACTCCCTCTTATATACATTTGCAAATTTAATGCTTAAATAATTATAAATTATCACAAAACACAATTACAATGTTAAAACATACATATATATATTTTAATTAGTAATTTAATTAATCAAAATGAAGCAAAGGTTTTTATATTGATGCAAGGGGTATATTTTAAAACAATGTAAATGTCTAACTGAATTCTGACTACGCACTGTGTTAATATGTCTCCAAAAGAAAATATAACAAAACACAAATGAAAGGTAAACAAATATTGCACTCTTTCTCTTCAGCTAAAAATGTATACATTTTATATCAAATTTACAAGCAAAAGCTAAACTAGAGAACAAACACAAAGCGTTCCTCTTGATGGGTCTAATGTTTTTGGAGACAAATTTTTAAAAAGCTCAGTTGAGAAGTCCTCTTGTATTTAGTGTTCTTGTTTATACTTAACCCTACAAAGTGAGAGCGTGCGATAACATGCATGCTATATGATGGGTCATCTATATGGCAAACCTATTCTATATGGCAAACCAATGAAAGTATTTTGTTGATTATTATTTTCTTCAATATATACTGAAGGTTCATTATTCACTAAACCAATTGTATCTGTAGATTCTAAACTATGCAACAATGGTTTTATATTTTTCTTAACATATTGACCTACTTCTACAGTTTGTTTTTTGCCTGATAAAAATCTACCACTAACTAAACCATGCTCAGATTTATACATATATTGACAAATTAAACCTTCATTCATGCTCACATTGATACGATGAGCAACAAAAGCATGAGCATTAAAGATGTTATTATTATATATATCAGCTGATGTATTATCATAGCTGATGGTGTTGTATTTGAATAATATTGAAATCTATGATCATAATTTTTTGTTATATATTCACTACCTAATTCATCACGCCATTCTGTAGATTCTAATCTGCTTCCATGTTTACCCCAAAATATATTTTCAACTATAGAATTATTTTCTGCAGTTTGACCAAAACATTTTAAACCAATATCCTCTGCTAAGTGACACAAATATACTCCAATATTATTATTTCCGACATTTGTATTACTGCTTTGTGTCTCAAAAGTTAAAACAGCAGTCTTATGATGTATTTCTACTCCTATGTTTTTTACACGTGCAGTAGTTGCACCTATTAACATAGATATTTCATCTTTAGATAAGCAGAAACCCAACATATGAACCGGTAAATCATGATAAGGATATCTAATGATGCTAAACTTTTCAGTAGAAGAGGTAATCACTTTGTAATCAATACTTGTATTGTGAATTCAGAGACGATATTGTTTTGTAAACGTTCTAATACTCGAATGCATATTGTGGCGTATGCCTTGAAATAATTGCACTGTTCCACAAGTTCCCATGGATCCCTCACTTGAATTTGATGCAGTACCTCTAGCAGAACGGACGTTTCTGCTAATATTATTGCTATTATCATCATTAGTAACATCCATACGGTCCATGATTTCATTGTCCGTCGTCTTCGGTTCCATTATAGAAGATCCATTTGCAATTGGTTCAACTTAAATTAAAAAAAAAATACAAACTTTTATACTTTTTGTATAAGTTATGGGATCTTTTGTTAAAAGTACCAAAAAAAAAATACAACTGTTTTATATCTTTCGGTTATCCCAATGAATACTTTATTTCTTGAGTTATCTTTAAAAACTAAACTATAACTTTTAAAATTATTTTAATATTGCACCGGACAAGTGCATTCATTTAAAGCGTCAGCTTTTTGTGGATGCTCGTGCAAGTGTAGGCTTACGCGAGTTAAGTGTCCGTTCGACTTATTAAGATAAAAAAATATTTTTATTAGAAGCATTCGCTTCAATTGTTAGCTTTATTCTGAACTTAATTGTTTAAAATACAATATTTTATACATTAAAATATGCTAATGTAGCATATGTTTACATAATCAAGAAATAAATTTTAGTTCACATAGATATATGGTTACAATAATTATTATGATAAGAAATAAAATACAAAATATATGTTGGAATTTATTATATATATTGTTACTATATATTCGGCGGCGTCTTTCTGTTGCTAGGTTCTACTTTACACTGACTGCATGTATATTACTCTGCTGTCATATTCACAGTAACGAGTAATTGTTGTGCTAGTGATGTTGTAAAGTGCACATGGGTATTTGGTATTACAACACTTCCCCTCAAATCCCATGCATCCTCCACAATACCACATACAATATGTCGATTAAACTTGCTTCAAAAATTTCAACAATCACTCGTTTTACAATATAGTTTTTGTTAGTTTTTAATTATTTATTGCTTCTGTTTTGGTAGTCCCTTGGTGAGTACGTCAGCTATAATTTTCTGCGTTGGAATGTACTTGACCTCGATCTCGTTCTGTTTCACCAGTTCTCTTACGTAGTAATGCCTCATGTCTATGTGCTTCGTTCTATTATGAAAAACGGGATTTCTGGTAAGCTCGCCTGCACCTTGGTTGTCGTTGAAGGTGACCACAGGTTTTTGTGCGCCAAGCAATTCTGTTATAAATCGCCTTAGGTACACTGCCTCTTGCGCAGCATCGGATATAGCCATATACTCGGCTTCGGTTGATGACAGAGCTATAGTTTGTTGTTTTCTGGACTCCCAGATTAATTGTGTACGAAGAACCATTTTTGCATCCGACTTTATTAGAAGACATGAAGAGTATATTTGGTGGCGCTGAAATGACTGTTGATGCTAAATATTCTGAACAGCAACCATTATTAAGAACTCCTGTTTTTGTAACTAGCAATGTTTTGCAACTTGCAAGAGGACATGCGTCAATAGAAAGTGAAGCAGCATTACAAGCAAGATGTTATATTTATCATTTTCAACATGATATTTTAGATATATTAAAAAACAATTATATGTTACTGTTATATCTGTATAATTTCGATATTTATTTATACAAAAAACTCCTAGTTATTATTATTTCACAAGTTAAAAAACTGAACAAAACTAAAATGTTAATTCTTCTTTATATGTCATCTGTCATCCTTGGCAGGGTTGCCAACAGTTACCATTTGATTTCGCATGTTTTATTAAAAATTTTTACAAATAATATAATTCTGTTTTCTATTTAAAAATGTTTTTCTTCTAATAAACATAATATTGAGTCCCAAGTTGAAGTCTTCACACAATGATGAATCTGTGTAGGATGTTGAAAATTCATTAATCTCATTTCGATTAGAAATAACCAAAACAAACAAATTAGAATAATCTAGTAATTTAATAGAGCCATTTTATTAAATAATTTTCTAGGATAAAATATATTGTTTAAAGTTACTTCTAGAACCACTTTATTTGTTAAAATTATCGCAGCTATAAACGCCCAAAAACCATTCCAAATGAAACGAAGTATAGCAAAACAATCAGCCAAATAAATTTCTCGTGCATTTTTTGCTTGAAGATAAGCCTTATCATGTTCTAAAGCAATAATGTCGGCTGGTAATAATGCTTGAGTAATTTTTTCTGTTGATGTTTCAGGGCCCAAATATTTAAATGTTGGTATATGCATTTAATATCCACACTCACACTCGTATACAAAAACTTTACCAGTGACAATTTTTAATAAAAAACGATTTTTTGATTTTTGTATAAAAATTTTATTTTGTACCTTGTATGATGCAAGCTTAATTACGACTGACTAACTTTGACTAATTTTTGAGATTAAAAATTCTTCTTCCACTACAATTCTTCTTCATTAAATGAAAACGTCTATGAATATATGCATTTTGTTTTTCGGCTGGAAAACTAAATTTTTTATGTAGATTATTCATTCTTTGTTTGTGTATATAAGTTGTTATATCTAAATAAAATAATACAAGTTGTTATTTCTAAATAATACTATATTTGTGTGCAATATTTATTAACAATTTGTGTAAATACAAGTATAAATAAAACTAAGTATGTGTTATTTTTTGGTGTCTTCTTAGATTAAATTTCGATGCGAAATCGCTGTACAAATCTCGCATTTTGGTTTAAATACGCAATCAAATGTATATGGAGCGTGCTCTAGTAATTCTTCTCTGTTTTTAAAATTTTTCTTACATCGTGAACATTATAATTTTCGAAAATGTGTTTCTTCGTGCAATAAGACATTGCGCTGTCGTCCAAATGTTCGTAAACAAAAGAAACATTTCCAATTTTCATCTTTGCACACTATTAGTTTATTATTTATTTATTCTTCATCTGTGAAATTATATTCACCTTTTTTATTCCTGGAATTCACCTCCTTTTTCTTTTGTTTTGATGTTGTGGGTTCTTCTTCGCTTTCTTCGCTTTTTTCGCTTTCTTCAAT